CAACTTGGCCATTATTTACCACAGTTGATCATTGAAACTTGTGCTGCAGCAACGTTCCAGGGTTTTGTGCTCGTGTCTGGAACACTGAGCATCTTGCATTTGGAATGCAGCCCCAGTCAGATCCAGTGGTGTGCAATCTCATGACCTCCAGTGACGTGTTAGTGACCTGACCTTGTGGCCTGTATCAGCTTCATTTGCTGTTAGTGTGGAAAACTCCCTTGCTACAGCAAGGCAGAGGTGCAGAATTACTCAACAACTTCTGTACCTCACGCTGTCCCTTATCAAACAGCAAATGTGCGTCCAAGTGCCTCTCCTGTATCAGCTTAACTCTTCACAACACTGGCACAGTCTGACATTCAGTACCATTGGTCCAATGAGATTTCTGACCAAGAGTAAGGGGGCAAAACCCTGAGAGCCAACTGGGGCTTTTCTACTCTATAGTGAAGCTCTTTGCTGGCACTGAAGGCACTTTTTGTACTTAAAGCCGGTTGTTTGTTTGTTTTTTGTTGTTGTTTTTCTGCCGTATATAATGAAGAGAAAAAGTCTAATCTCCACTCATGTTGCCTCTTCTCTTGCCCTGCAGAGGGACGGGCCTGTGCTGTGGTGTTTGACTGTAAATTCATCGAGACCTCAGCCGCTCTTCACCACAACGTGAAGGACCTGTTCGAGGGCATCGTGCGGCAGATCAGGCTGCGCAAGGACAGCAAGGAGGACAATGCCAGGAGGATGGCCAACACCAAGAGGAGGGAGAGCATAGGCAAAAAGGCCAAGCGGTTCCTCGGGAGGATTGTGGCAAAGAACAACAAGAAGATGGCTTTCAAGGCAAAATCAAAGTCCTGCCACGACTTATCTGTGCTATAGGAGCCCTCAGCAAGGCTGGATGCTGCAGGTGATGAACGAACCTTGGACTGTTATGAGAAGTGTGTAGATGATCCTCGTGGTGATAACAAGAATGACTCATCCCTTGAGACTCTCATTAATGCCTTAAGGTGCTCAAGCAAGCCTGGAAGTTACACCACAATGCTTCACTGATAAACGGTTTAAGTTTCAATGTGTGCAAGTCAATGAACTAACTCGAAATGTGTGGCTCGGCGTGCCCACATTTTCACTGTGTACATACGTTCTATATCCTCTTGTCCTGTGGATACCAGAGATGCAAAGATAAGGAAGGATAATAAGTATCTCACCATAGACTTGTCTTGTTTGCAGAGCAAAACTTCAACTTGTACGCAGGCTCGTACACTCTTTTTAGTATAATGCAAGCAATGATAAATCTTTTTAAACTTCAGTGTGGGGAGGAGGGGGTACAACCACACCAGAAGGGGAGAAAACAAATTATATATATATTTAAATACAGAACAGATATCATTTTACGAAGTTAATTTGCACTTCCATTAACTGTTATTCAATGAATTGGTTACTTGTTTACATGCAGATTTTATAATAAAGTATTATTTCCTGTTATAATAAACTGTGCTTTTCTCATAGTATGGGTAAAGAATGAGAGGGCAGTGTTTTTATACTGAGCTTTTTCAGTGTACAAAACATTATACACAGACTATGCAGATTTACCTGTGATGAAGTTCTAGAACGAGATGAATTGGGAAAATCCTGTGCCCTTTAATAGATAATTTCTCTAAAAAATAAACCCTGCTTTTATGAACAGTCTACTTCCACAGCTCATATGGGAAAGGACCCTTCATATTATTGTTCATCCTCAACCTGGTTCTCATCAGCTGTGGCAGGAGCAGAGCTCTATAAAACTCCTTTAGTTAGGCTGATGTCTTGTGTTTCTGCTGACAAACTGAACCCTGGCATGTTTGAAGGGCTGTCCTGGCTTGAAGGTCTTGTGTTAGAGCCCCTAAGCAAGTGCAGGAGGTTGGTTTTTCTCTTTGTGCAGCAGTAGAACTGTCTCATCTACCCCCAGTTGTGTAAACCCCTGCCAGTGGTTTCAAGAAGTTCAGAGCAGCCTGGTAAGGGTGTCTGAAGGAGTTTTGGGCTTCAGCTGTGTCTGTTAAAGTTCCCATGTTAATTTAGTGTGTTATAATCACTGTGTTCCCGTGATTTTTCCCTATTTGCTATCAATGAAGGTAAAACCCAATCGTGTCACAGCGGAAAAACTGGGACTTATGGCATTTGCTTTATAAATTCCTTTTCACTGGATAATTCTCTTAAAAGTAATCTGTGAACTTAGTTCTCACAACCAGTAAAACATACAACCTTCTCTTTCTCCTGTCCCTGCCTGGATCCAGTTTGTCAGAGAGGCTGTTCCAGCTTCCCCAGAGCCCTGTTTGGTCAGGGTGTTGAGTGTGTCCTTTCCAATACAGCAGGAAGATTTCATCAGCTGCTGCACCTTACTCTGGGCTTCCCAGAGATCAGACAACTCTCCACTGCTTGGGCCCTTTAGTTCTCCAGTGCTGGGAACATGGGACAGTTAATACTGCAGGAAATCCCTCCTGATTTCCACAGGGAATGCGAGAATGAGTGTCTCCTGATGGTGGGCACAACTGGTTACAAGCACAGTTCAGCTTATGCTGCTGATAACAGGTCCCATTTCTTGCGAACAGAGAATTCTGACCTGCTGTCAAACCTCACATTTACCTGAGGAGACATTTTAGGTGGGTTTGGCTTTTTTTCCACCAGCCTTGCTTGCTGGCCAGCTGTTCTCTGTTGTGGAACGTGTCACCACCGTCAGAGAATGTCAGCGGGCACCTGTGCACATGGAAGCTTTGCACTGGCAACACCAGAGCAATTGCTCTAATCCTGAAAATTCTACAGCAGGAGTGCCCAAATGTGCATAAATAAATGTGGCACAGACCTGTTCCTGTAAATGCTGGGGTTAATGGCAAACCTGTGTGGCAAAGCCTCTTCAAGGTCGTGGTCACCAGCTCTGGGTTTTGCACACTGACACAAAAATTAGATGTTTTACTGTCCATGAACTCACAGATTCGTTTGGGCCATTTTTTAACCTAAGATATTTCTAAGGGACTCTAGTCCATTCTCAGAGATTCATTTAAACTGTGGGAAATAATTTGTATTTTGGAAGTGTGTCCTTTAGGACACTGTGAGACGATAAACTGGGAATCACTCCAAAGAAACTTGGGCTAATCTAGAATGTTATCAGTTAATACTGTACAATAAACTACTTATTCAAATCCTCATTATACTGATTTTTTCCCATTCATTTGTTTGTACAGGTATTGGCATAATTCAGCCACAGTTCTTGAGAAGGGGAAGGGTTTGTTTTTATTGCAGCTCTGACAAAAATCTCCTCTAGAAGTTTCATGAGTGCTGTTTTGCAGAGATTTTGAAGCTCCTCAAAGATATCTTACCCAGAAAATTAATTAATTAATTGATTGACTGATTAGTGGAATTTTTAGCAGAGTTTTTGGAAGTACATGTGCAGCACCAGATAGAATTCAGTAACAGGCAACTGAAAAATGTGCCTAAACCCCAACCTTCAAAAGGGTGTCTGTATCCTCAAACATTTGAAAGCCATCTGTGGGTTTTTGTCATTTGAGGTGTTTTACTGGTGTGGTTCCTCAGATTCTTGTAACTAATGAGGTGAATCTGTCGTGTGAAAACAGTGAGTCCCAGACAGCAACATTTTCTCCAAGAATTACCAAAGTAGAACAGAGTATAAGGGGTAACAGTGGTGTGAGACTTCCTATTTTTTGCCAGTGCACACCAGTTTTAATTTGGAGAGACAGTTCACACAGTCATTTAATCTTTACTGCTGTCACTGCTGCTGCCAGCTGAAGTTCCTGCTACTGCTAATTGTGGTGGTGGATTTTGTGTTGGCACAAATCCATTTGGAACAGCTACTTATTGACAACTACAGGGGAAGGCCATTGCCTTTTATATGTGAATTGTATGTTAGGTAAACAAATCAAAGCCTCCTGTGCTTGCTGTTGCTAAACTAGATTCTGTAAATTCTTCACCATGTGAAAAACGTGGAAAAAAAAAATCATTCCTCCATCTGCCAAAACCAAGAAGCAGAAAGTCATGTCACATAAATATAGACCAAATGTTATCTGCTGGGGGAAGACTTGGCAACACTGAAAATGGAGTTTTACTCAGATGCATTTGCTCAAAATAGGACTAGAAAAAACCAGAGCACGATCTGCATGGTGACACCGGGGAACATCAGTGCTCTTTACTGAAGGTACAGTGAGCTGACAGTGGATCATACAAGAGTGATAAAACCTAGTAAAAATAAAGGGAGTTAAATTATGCTGAAATTTGCTTTAGTACTCTTTATTCAAAGACAATGTACAGGTTTAGTTTCAAGCACATCACAGGGACCACGATGAATCTGCAGTCCCAACCCAATGTGATGCCTGTGCCTTCCAGGAGTTTCCTTTAACTTCTAATTTACCACCAGACATGACCTCCAGCATTGTAATGGACAACTTGACTCCTCATTTGCATAAAGGAACCTGACCCTCAATACTGTTGAAGTAATTAATCCCTAACAATTGAAACAGTAAATTACATCTGCTATCCTTGTGCTCCTTGCCATGGATGTGGAACAGGGAGGGAAGAGATAAAAAGAGAGAACAAATTCCAACTGTACATCTGCAAACAATATTTCTATCACCCACTCTTCGGGATTCAAGAGCATTCAAGAGCGTTCAAGAATCCAAGAACAACGCTGTTTAACTTAAAAATGTGCTAGGGATTCCAGCACCAGAGGGTAGGAAGCAGGCTAAGAAATTTACTTCAACACCTAATTCTTCACCAACAAAATAGTACCAGCTATGTCCTACAAAAATGTTCTGGCCACTGGGTAAAATGGCAGTGTGTGTCCTAAAGGCTTTTCTCTCTCTTGATCTCCTCTCTTCTCTTCTCTTCTCCTCTTTTTTCCTCTCTATAAATATGCTGTCCAATGAATCATTGCAAACCTCTTAGGAGCCTACAGAGTTTTTTCAAATAAATCCCATATTTATCACAGGAAATGAAGAAAATATTAATCTGAACTACAGTTTAGTGCTCAGAGGCAGGGATAAATAGAATACATTTGAAAATATTCATCTTCTCACCCTCCTAAAAAACCTTTTCTAAGTTCTGAAAGAGGGACTGGAGGAAGGAAAGGATTTGGGGCAGAAATGCTCCTGCTCAGAATGGTCTGGTCAGACCCATGAAAATCCCCCCAGCTTGTTCATGGCATTAAGTCCCATCTCCTTCAGCCTTATTACAGCAGCATAAAAAATTAAGCTTGCAGTCCCACTGAGGGTTGGGGCCCTTGCTTTGGGAATGACAGGTCTCAGTTTTCAGCTGCTTTGGCAGAGGAGCAGTAGTTTTTGTCTAAATGGGATTATTGTGATGCATTGTGCTTAACAAAAAGCTTTCAGGAGCTCCAGGTAGGAGGAAATACAACCCTGTTAATTAGCTGTCTGGGTCAAAAGGAGCACAACCCTTTAGGGTGGGTTCCCTTTTGCTTTTAGGGGAAGTGATGATCTTAGAAAGGCTGTAAATAGCACTGGACATGACTAATGTAAAAAAATACTTCACTTTGGTGCATGTTTCTTGAGTGGCTGCAAAGCTTGTTGAACATACTACAAAGTCAACAGAATGGCTTGATTTT